CAAAAATCAACTCATAACGGATCATAGACCTGAGTGTAGAATGCAAACTATAAACCTCCTTGTTGTTGTTCAGTTGCTCGGTCATGTCTGACTCTTTGCAATCCCAGGGACTGCAGCATGTCAGGCTTCCCCGTCCTTCACAATCTCCCAGAGTTTGCTCAAATTCATGTCCATTGAGTTGGTGATACCATCCAACCATTTCATCCTCTGTCGTCCCCTTTTCCTCCTGCCCTCAATCTTTCCCAGCATCAGGGTCTTTTCCAATGAGTCAGCTCTTTGCATCAGGTGGCCAAAGTATTGGAGTTTCAGCTTTAACACCAGTCCTTCCAATGAACACCCAGGGCTGATCTCCTTTAGGATGGACTGGTTGGATCTCCTTGCAGCCCAAGGGACCCTCAAGAGTCTTCTCTAACACCACAGTTCAAAAGCATCAGTTCTTTGGCTCTCAGCTTTCTTTATAGTCCAACTCTCACATCCATACATGACCACTGGAAAAACCATAGTATTGACTAGACAGACGTTTGTTGACAAAGTAATATCTCTGCTTTTTAATATGCTGTCTATGTTGGTCAGGACTTCCCTGGTGGCTCAGATGGTAAAGCATCTGTCTACCTTGCAGGAGACCTGGGTTCAATCCCTGGGTTGGGAATATTCCCCGGAGAAGGAAATGGCAACCCACTCCAGTACTCTTGCCTAGAAAATCCCATGGATGGAGGAGCCTGGTGTCCATGGGGTCACAAAGAGTCAGACACGACTGAGCGACTTCACTTTCACTTTCACTTAGGTTGGTCATAACTTTTCTTCCAAGGAGTAAGCGTCTTTTAATTTCATGGCTGCAGTCACTATCTGCAGTGATTTTGGAGCCCAGAGAAATAAAGTCAGCCACTGTTTCTACTATTTCCTCATCTATTTGCCGTGAAGTGATGGGACCAGATGCCATGATCTTAGTTTTCTGAATGTTGCCCAAGGGACTCTCAAGAGTCTTCTCCAGCACCACAGTTCAAAAGCATCAATTCTTTGGTGCTCAACCTTCTTTATGGTCTGACTCTCACATCTATACATGACTCCTGGAATAGGAGAAAACATAGTTGATCTTGGATATGGTGCCTTTTTAGATATAACGCTAAATACTTGATTCATTAAAGAAATAATTGATACCCTGGACTACATTAAAATAAACTTTTGTCTGTGAAAAACAATATCAAGAGAGTGGGAAGGCAAGCCACTTAATTAAAGAAAATATCTGAAAGAGAAATGTCTAACCACGGACTGTTTAAAATATGGGCCAAAGGTATCAACAGAGAGCTAAGGAAAGAAGATATACAGATAACAATTAAATGCATGAAATGATTCTCCACATCATTTGTCTTCAGGGAAATGAAAATTAAAACAACAAAGAGATACCACTACACATCTTTTAGAATGGCCAAAATCCAGAACACTGACAACACCAAAATGCTGATAAGAATGTGGAGTATCCTTTCACATTGTTGGTGTAAAATCAAAACAATACAGCCATTATGAAAGACAGTTTGGTGCATGCATGCTAAATTGCTTGTCATGTCCAACTCTTTGTGAGTGAACTATAGCCTGCCAGGCTCCTCTGTCCATGGAATTCTCCAGGCAAGAATACTGCAGTGGGTTGCCATGCCCTCTTCCAGGGGCCTTCCTGATCCAGGGATCAAACTCACATCTCTTATGCCTCCTGCATTGGCAGGCAGGTTCTTTATCATTGTGCCACCTGGGAAGCCCTAAACTTGCTTTTACCATGCAATCCGGCAATCATTCTCCTTGGTATTTAGCCACTGGAGGTTTATATCCACACCAAACCTGCACATGGATATCTATGGAAGCTTTGTTGTAATTGCCAAAGCTTGGAAGCAGCCTTACCTACAGTAGTAGGTAAATGTGTAAATGAACTGGTGCATCCAGAAAATGAAATAGCATTTCGTTTTAAGGAGAAATGAAGCAGTCATGAAAAGATATGGAGTAAACCTGACTGCATATTATTAAGTGTAAGAGGCCAATTTGAAAAGGCTACATACTATATGATTCCAACTATCAGATCCTTTGGAAAAGGCAAAGGTGTGGAGAAAATGAAAAGGTCGATGGTTGCTGGGGTAGGTTGGGGTGGGAAGAAGGATGGATTGGCAAGCACAGAGTTTTAGGACCATGGAACTCTTTTGTACATTATTGCAGTGATGGATACACAAACCCAAAGAATGCAGACAACACCAAGAGTGAGCCATAAGGTGAACTATTGACCTTAGTGATTAGGATGTGTCAGGTCAGTGTAGGTTCATCCTTGGTAACAGAGGCATCCCTTGGTGCATTCATTGATAATTGATACTAGGGGTGGGCGAATTATGCTTCAGTGGAGATAAAGGACTTCAGAGAAATTTCTGTACCTCTGTCTCAATTTTGTTTTCAATTTAAAACTGCTTTTGTAACTTTTCTTTAAAAAATTTGAAACAGTAACAACAAAATGATGTGAGTAAATAATATTTAATCAGAATCAGCAACTTATTGCCTTATAATGTAAAGATGCTACATTTTTGGTAATTTTAGCTAGCCATAAAATGTTTATTTTACAGTGGACTATAAGTTCCATGAAGACAAGGATTGTGATTGTTTTGTTCAATAGTACACACTCACTATTAACAAATACCAGTTTATCAGAAGGGCCCAAAAATATTTTTGAAAGAATAGTTTTCATTAATTTTATTACTTATGCTAAAATTATGTATCAAGAATATTTACCAATAACCAGAATTCTTTGAGCTAGAATGCCGCATTTTCTGTGGCTAGAGGTTAAGGAAGAAAGAGATCAGAGAGAGAAAAGGAGAGAGACTCTAGGTAAGCCATGAGACTCTGATCAGTTTCCGCCATCCATGCAGCTTGGTTTTCAGGTGAAAAAGCATGAAGGAGCAAAGTGTTTGAGAGATGAAAAGGCAGGAAGAAGAAGGAAGAAGGAGAAAACTCTGCTCACTGAGGCGCTACAGAGGGACTTCCCTGGTGGTCCAGGGCTAAGACCCCGTGCCCCCAATGCAGGGGAGGTGGGTTCCGTCCCGACCAGGGAACTGCATCCCACATGCTGCAATTGAGAGCTCGCCTGCCTCGGCTGAAGATCTGCATGCCACAACATAGACCAACGGTGCCTCGTGCTGCAACTAGGTGTGGGTGCAGGCAAACTAATCAATGAAATGAAAAGAAACTACTGGGACTCCTTTCACTTAAACGTCCTTCAAAAAGTGAGAGGGAGTACTGCTATCTTATTTGCGAGTTGACCCCAGGAAATACTGTTAAGAGAATGGAGAAATGAGAAGAGAAGACAGAGAAGAGAATGAAGGAAGAACATAAATGCACTCTCCACCAGACGACCATGTGGGCAGCCAGAGCTTAATCCCTCTAGGGAACAACGGAGCCATCTTGCCACGAGGACTATGCTTAGCCACCAACTCCCCCAGTCAGAGATTAAGGGCCACTCCAAGAGGAGCCTTGGTTCCCTGGCACTTCTGACTGCACAGGTGGGCAGAGTAGAATCCTGCAGCCAGAGGGAGCCCTTAGGCAATGAAATGTAGATGCTGGCAATTTAAAAAGTCAGGTTAGTTTGCGCAGATACATAAGGGACAAGGCAGTATGAATGGAGGAAACAATAGCAACTGCTCTAGTTTGCTTGTTTGAACATAGAGAGAAAGTCATGGAGATACTTAATAGACATTTATGTTTATTTTCAGCTGTGTTTCAGAATCTGGAATAGCTACTTGTATTCAGGCAACTGGGCTTCCCAAGCAGTGCTGGTGGTAAAGAATCTGCCTGCTCCATGCAGGAGACCTAAGCTAAATGCAGGTTCTGTCTCTGGGTGGGGAGAATCCCCAGGAGAAGGGAATGGCTATCCACTCCAGTATTATTGCCTGGGAATCCCATGGACAGAGGAGCCTGGTGGGTTATGGTCCATAGGGCCGCAGAGATGGGCAGGACTGAAGAACTTAGCCTTTACGATCGCTAAACATTTCTGGACCGTGTTGATATCTCATGACTGTCCACCTCAACTGAGTGGATATGTGAATGGATTGAAAATTGAAGTCCATACTGTTGATTTCCAGGATGATACATTCACTTAGAAACCACTCTGGTGCCCTTTGTCATTTGGAGCCCATATTTCAGAGCTAAACCTGTACTGAGCAGAGACCTTCTCATCTTGTAAATGTTGATTAACAATCAGTTTCATGGGGTTAATCCATATACTTCAGAATGGAGACTCAATTTCACCTTTTTGAAAAAAAAATAAAATGGAGAACTACACTTAAAAATCACGTGTGTCAGTGCTCCTAGGTGTTACCTAAACCTTGTCTAACACCAAGTATGGGAAGTAGGTGAGGGATGGATCAACTGAATGGTCTTCTGGGGAAGTCTTGAGCCAGGAGTCACAAAAGACATTAAAATAGGAAGGAGAAGTGCATGAAGTCAGCAAAAAGTAGACACCATAAGGGCAAAATCAGCCATAATGTAAACAGTCCAAAGTATAATCATCAAGTAGTTAAAATGTGGGTAGAAGTCAAAAAGAGATGAAAAAATTAGGGAATCTAATCAAAAGTAATAATAACTAAAAAAAAAGAAATGATGAAATACATCAACAGAAGTCAGGTCCCCAGAAACCCTGAGCTATATGTCTTATGATGTGGTTTGAACAGTGATGTTTGCAGAGTCTGTGGACAACTGTCCTGTAAACCTGACCGGAGGATGCTTGTGTCCTCTGTGGGGAAGCAAGTCCAGATTCTCTCCTCTAGATCTGGGGAGGGGAAGCATGCCCACTTCCTCTCCCCACCCCTGCCAGGAGGCCGATCTGATGCTGCTCTGATCCTGGAAGCTTCTCACCAGACATCGGAATAAAACTGGACTGAAAGTATTTTTAAATCCCAATGATACTTTCAGGTGGGGAATATACTTGATATGTTATTTACAAAGAAAATATTTTCTAGTATCTTTTTCCTTTGTAGTCTATGAAACAATGTTTGCTAAAAGAGAAGACTGGCAAGGGTTAGAAAGAAGTGAACTCCTGAAGTTCTTCAATGACTGTGGTCATTTCCCAACCCAACTGCAAACTGGTGAGGTTTGGGGTCTGGTCCATAGAGGTAAGTCGTTTTCATTTCTGTGTTTCTCTTGGTTTCTCCTTCCTTCTTTCTTTCTTCCCTATTTTCCTCCCTTGATCTTTCCTATATTCCTTCTCTTACTTTCTTTTAGTTTAGTTCAGTTCAGTTGCTCAGTCGTGTCTGACTCTTTGCGACCCCATGAACCGTAGCACTCCAGACCTCCCTGTCCAGCACCAACTCCTGGAGTCCACCCAAACCCATGTCCATCGAGTTGGTGATGCCATCCAACCATCTCATCCTCTGTCGTCCCCTTCTCCTACTACCCTCAATCTTCCCACCATCAGGGTCTTTTCAAATGAGCCAGCTCTTCACATCAGGTGCCCAAAGTATTGGAGTTTCAGCTTCAGCATTAGTCCTTCCAGTGAACACCCAGGACTGATCTCCTTTAGGATGGACTGGTTGGTTCTCCTTGCAGTCCAAGGGACTCTCAAGAATATCCTCCAACACCACAGCTCAAAAGCATCAATTCTTTGGCACTCAGCTTTCTTTATAGTCCAACTCTCACATCCATACATGACTACTCGGAAAACCATAGCCTTGACTAGACGGACCTTTATTGCAAAGTCATGTCTCTGCTTTTTTAATATGCTGTCTAGGTTGGTCATAACTTTCCTTCCAAGGAGTAAGTGTCTTTTAATTTCATGTCTGTAGTCACCATCTGCAGTGATTTTGGAGCCCAGAACAATAAGGTCAGCCACTGTTTCCACTGTTTCCCCATTTGCCATGAAGTGATGGGACCAGATTTGTCTTATAAATCCCTTTTTTCAAATTGTTAAAACCTAATGTTAATATACATATGAAAGAAGATTTAAATAACAGGTTAAGAGTTAATACAGTATCAACCTAGATGGGTGGGGTGGGGAGGGGGAGACGGGAGGGAGTTTCAAAAGGGAGGGGATGTATGTATACCTGGGCTTCCCTGGTGGCTCAGAGGTTAAAGCGTCTGCCTGCAATGCGGGAGACCCAGGTTCAATCCTTGGGTTGGGAAGATCCCCTGGAGAAGGAAATGACAACCCACTCCAGTATTCTTGCCTGGAGAATCTCATGGAGGGAGGAGCCTGGTAGGCTACAGTCTATGGGGTCGTAAAGAGTCGGACACGACTGAGCTACTTCACTTTCACTATAGCTGATTCATGTTGAGGTTTGACAGAAAACAGCAAAATTCCACAAAGCCATTATCCTTCAATAAAAAATAAGAAAAAAGTTACCTTTAAAGGAGTGGAGGAGATGATTTTAGCTTTTAGAAAGCTTCTAATATATTTTTGATACACTGTGTTGTATCTGAATACATTTAAAACCACCATATTTTAAATACTGATGCTACAATGATTTCTCCTGAATATATTTGGTACAAAAAATATAGTCAAGTTTGAATGTTTAAACATTATAAATTATTTCTAACACAATAAAATCGTTTCTTTTCTTAACAGTAAATAAGTGAAAGGATAGCATGCATTATGTAGGAATATTTAATAAGTTAAATGGAGCAACATTTCTCCTTTCTCTATACTGGTAAGGGGGTGGAAATTGTCACCAAGGTGTGGAAAGTCTCAATGAATTTTTCTTAACTCCTTAAAATTCTTCTCAACATTTCTTTCTATGTCCTCCCTAATGCTATGGCTTTCTACCATGTTTAGAGATGATGAATGAGGTACCCCAAATTTAACTGAGAGGAAAAGGTAAACAAACAAAACAAAATAACTCAAGGTCTTTTTTGTAATAGAGAAGAAGGGCCCACATGCCAGTAGAAATGTATGATTAATGTCGGAGTGACAAGGTTGAAGCTTCATATGGGTTGAAGTTCTCTTTGTTAGTTCTTAGTGTAAATTGACCTAATACTTTACCTATGTGTGGGCTTTGTTTTGCCACTGTTGCATTCTTAGTACCCAGAAAAACTTTCTAGGCTCTTGGTAAATTTGTTTCACAGACTCGAGGAGCATCCAGGTCACTTTGAATGTTTAAGCAACTTTTTCCCACTAACAAAAACATTGAGCATTTATTATAGAAAATTTGAGAATATAGAAATATATAAAATTACTAACAAATAGCAATTAATATTTGATGTTTGTCATTTCCAGTTTTTTTCCTTCACATAGAACATTTTTATGAAAATTGGAATTTTCTACATGTTGGGCTCATTGGTAAAGAATCTGCCTGCCAATGCAGGAGACATGGGTTTGATCCCTGGGTCGGGAAGATCCCCTGGAAGAGGAAATGCAACCCATGCCAGTGTTTTTACCTAGAAAATCCCTTGGAGCCTGGTGGGCTACAGTCCATAGGGTCACAAGGAGTCTGACATGACAGTACTGGGCACATACACGATGCAAAATCTACATTTTTTGGTTAACAATACTCCTTAATTCCCAAGCCATAAATACCTTTTACAGCATTATTTATGACTGAGTAATAACTCAATCATAAAGGTATTCTGTAAAGCATTTACTATTGTACATTTAAATTCTTACCATTTTTCTTTATAATAAATAATAAAATTCAAAAAGTTGAATGCAGCAAAGTAGAATCAATTAGAGATTTCGGAAACTTATTCTGATTAGTGTTAGTAATTTAAAATATGTTTTTCTTCAAATTATATTTCATAGTGGTATTTTCCTTCACTGATTATTTTAGAGTGTATCATAGAGGCTTGGGTTTAGAGCATGGCTCAATTTTAGATTGCCTGGATTTAATTCCTGACTTCATCACTTATTAGCTGTATGTCTTTGGACAAGTTATTTATCTCTGCTATGCCTTATTTTATTAATATATGTTTAAAGCAAGATAATACTATCAAAATAGTTGGACTGTTGTGACTTTTAAATAGAATAATTAATGTAAAACTTGTGGATCATTTTAAATGCCAATAAATGTCTGTTATTATTTTTCTTAAACAATCCTTTAGTATACTGAAATAGTTATGAAAATTAATTTTCATAATTTTTTTAATTTTGAAGGTGTTAAAATATTGAACCTAATTGTTGAGTGACTTATTTCTATAGATATTTTTGTATTGAATGTCATCCACTGGTTTCTACCCATATCATCTCTCGATTATCATAATGACGTGTGTACTACAGGAGATATGCTCATTTATGCTCATTTTACAGATGAGAGAACTGAGACTTAGAGTTTTTAAAGCTCATTAGGAGAGCTGAAACTTTAACCCTGGTCTCTTAAAATCAAGTTCAATGCTCTTTACTATGTGGAGTAAAATTTAAAAGTTCAGTATTACAAAAACATAATTAGATGGATGATTAAAATATTCTTGACAGCAAGTCCTGCCTTTTATTGGTCTTTCACAGACTAGATAATGCCTTGTGATATAGTAGGTTTTCTGTAAATGTTTCACTCTATTAAATTTCTTATTAAAACTAGAATTTTCAAAAGAACATGTATATTATCAATTGTGAAACAGATCACCAGTCCAGGTTTGATACATGAGACAAGTGCTCAGGGCTGGTGCACTGGGAAGACCCAGAGGGATGGGATGGGGAGGGAGGCGGGAGGGGGGATCAGGATGGGGACACATGTAAATCCATGGCTGACTCATGTCAATGTATGGCAGAAATCACTACAACACTGTAAAGGAATTAGCCTCCAACTAATATAAATAGATGAAAAAAAATTTTTTAAAAAGAACAGTTAGCTTAAAAACATACTGTTTTTATTATAATGCCTAAAATTGGGAAACTTTCCTTTATAGAAGCCACTCTAACATAATTTAAAATATATGTCCACTTATGTTGCTACATCCAGTTAAACAATTCTAGTTCATAAGAAGCATTAATTTAAAATAGAGCTATTCTAAAATAATGGAAAGAAAACCAAAAATTTGTGGGAAATGGAGCTAGTGTTTTCTGCTTGCTTCTGGTAAGGGAATCTGATTTTATGCATTTTGGATTGTCAATCATCTTCATTCATACTGACTTCTTTGATTGTGTGTAATAGCTCCAGATGTGCAACCTACACATTTTTTCATCCAGTAGCATATTTCACCTAACTCATGTATACTTAATTCAATTGATTAACTTCTTCAGTGTGTGACACCAACTAGGTCAAAGTTTCAAAACTGTCTTTGTGTTCAGGTATTTTTAGCTCCCCCTTCCCCCCTTTTTTCTTCTTATCACTATGGTAACTAAAATTGTAACTGAGGATATGATTTTTGTCTGAAAATCTTTCTTTGGGAGAATGAAGCAACTTCAGACTAAATGTAGAGGCCAATCTTGAAAGCTGATAACTATGCAGACATGAGAACCTTTACTTGATGTTCATTCACATCTCAACAAGTGAAACTAATAACAATAGAATGACATATATTAAAGAAAATAATACATTTCGTTCTATATTATATTCTCACATCTGCCTAACTTTTAGAAGTTTGAACTTGGAAAATTTTCCAGCGTTTTCTCAACATGAGAATAGAAACCTTAGTTTGTTTTCAGCAACTAAAATTACCTCAATAATGAAGACAAGTCCACTTTCACTGTGGAGCCCTAGATGAAAAGTCTTAAACCCTAAGACATTCTCTGCATCTGAAGAAACAATGGTCTGAGGTAGGATATGAATTATTCTGGGCTCCCAAGTTGGTGGCAAACTGCAGCTGTGTCCTGGCCCTCCTGCCCGTTAGGGTATGGTTTGGTTCACTAAAAGCAGACAACACTGGATTTCCTGTTATATTTTCAAGATACGACTTTATTTATAAACTGGGGATAATATAATGATTTTCCCCTATTTTTTTTTCATATGAGCAAGCTCTTTAACAACAAGATTTTGATTACACAAGAAAGGAATTAAAGAGGATTTTAAAAAGATAAGATAGTAAGAGTATTCTAGGGCCAAAGAAATTCTAATGACAAAAGAATGCAGAAATATCAGAGGTAACATGTTACAAAGCCTTATTTTAAATAACTTCTAAAAAAGAAATTTAACACATTCTTAGCATAAAGCAGTTTGAAAATACATACTAAAAACAAAAGACAAAATGA